ATTTCCTCCTAGACATCTGCAAACACTATAGAAGAAACCTTACAACTAACCTGCCCAAGAAACACAATCATATCTTCAAACAAACCTTTTTTAGGACGGGGTTTTGTTGGTTCTGTAGCCGCTGGCGATGTAGAAACCTGAAAAGACAGAAACCAGGAGTAGTAAATATAAGGCAAGGTTTCTTGAAACTCTGTTCCAGAAAATAATCAGAAAGGACAACTGGCAAATCCCAAAGGAGGGCATAAAAATAGCAGCATTGCTGCTGGACAAACTCTGCCCTGCCAAGCAAGGCAGAGATTTCTGTTCCACAGCTCGATTAAATAAACACCCTCACTGTGCAGCGCATCCCTGTTCCTGGGGTCACTTCTCATCACCAGCATCCTGGGAACTGGTCTTTACCTTGCAGAAAATCGAGACTGGAGCATTTAAGAAGCTAATTAGAGATCACACAGAAACTAAAACATTTTTCATAAAATATTTATGAAGTTAATTAGGGCAAAGCTGTTCTCAGGGAACCATCTGAGGCCGCAGCATGTGAGCACAGGGATGCCCCCATCATACAGAGGGCAGGGAACCTCCCCCAGCAAGCTCCCAGTCCATGGAAAATACATTAATTTTATAAGATTTTCTTCCTTTGCATCAAGCATCAAACCTTCACAGAAGAGAAATGGGTTTACACAGGAAAGTATTTTTATTTTTCACTTTGCTTTTTGGGAAGACACAACACAGCTCTTAAACACCTTTGTCACCTCCTCTCTCCTTAATAAATAATTTTTAAAATCAGAGATTCAGTCAATCTTTGTTCTTTGCAGTGTTTTGGGAACATTTTCTAGTTGCACCTTTTTTTACTGGAGATGGGGAAATCAGAAATGATGAGACACGAAAAATGACCCAAAAAAGGCTCTTCTTTTTTTTTTTTTTCTGTTTACTTTTTCGCTTCTTAACGGTTTCTAAAATTTTACTGACTTTTCTGATTCCTGTTGTGAAAAACTGAGTTGCTATTTTCATGGAGTTACCAAACTCAGCATTCCATCCTCAGCAAGAATAACCAGCACAAACATCTCATTTGTTTATATATTGCAATTTATTTTTCAATCTGCACACCCATCATTCCAAGTCCTCTCACTCAGCTCTGTTAAGACTCCTGGAGTTTCTCATATTTCCTCCTCACCTGAGTAACTTTCTAGTCATCCTTTTGACCAGATAATTTCCAAGTACACCAAACAACCCAGGCCTGGTACTGACCCCTGCGGGGCTTCACAAAAAACTAAGGAATTATGGAATGGGTTGGGTTGGAAGAGACCTTAAAGATAATTTCGTTCCAGTCCCTGCCATGGGCAGGGACAGCTCCAAGCCCCAATGTCCAGCCTGGTCCTGGGCACTTCAGGGATGCAGGGGCAGCCCCAGCTGCTCTGAGCACCCTGTGCCAGGGCCTGCCCACCCTCACAGCCAGGAATTTCTCCCCAATATCCCATCCATCCCTGCCCTCTGGCAGTGGGAGCCATTCCCTGGGTCCTGTCCCTCCATCCCTTGTCCCCAGTCCCTCTCCAGCTCTCCTGGAACCCCTTCAGGCCGGGCTTCTGAGGTCTCCCTGAGCCTCCTTTTCTCCAGGCTGTCCACCCCCAACTTCCTCAGCCGCTCCTTGTGCTGCAGCCCCTTCCCCATCCCCATTACTCCTCCCCTGTTCCAGCACCCAATAATCGATTACTACTGTTAATTATTTCAGCAGAGGCTGAATTTCCCTCACGTTTTCCATACCAAGTGTGCAGATTAAAAACTCGCTCTTCAAAAAGAACTTCCCCGCCGTCGCCACCTTCCCTCACTTCCCTTCACCTCCCCTCATCTCCCGTCCCTCCCGTCCCTCTCGGCCCCCTCAGCCCGGGAGGCTCTCGCCCCTCACCGTGGTGTCCGGCGGCTCCGCCATGGCCGCGGCGGCCCGGGGTTGCCATG